GCTGCTGCTGCTGTGGGCGGCCGCGGCGGGGCCAGGTAGAGTGACCGGGGTGGGGACCGGGGTTGGTGGGTTGGATCGCGGTGACGAGGGAGGTGTGCGTGTATTGCAGTGGGGTTGGGGAAGGGGTCGCGCCACGGTGACAGCCCGGTCGCCTCGGGGCCCGCATAGGCCCGAACAATGCGCTCGGGGGGCCCGGCTGGAGGGGCAGACCCTTGTCCCCGGGACAAAGCGCAGCGCGGGCCGGGAGCCCGGAGCCACGAGCGAGGGAGGGGGCGCGGGCCCTGGACGCCGTTGCCGCAGCCCCCCCACCCACCCCGCACAGGCCCCGATCCCGCGGGGACAAAGGGCCCGAGACCCTCCCTCCCCCCACATCCCCAAGCCCGCCTTCTCCAGGCTGGTCCCGCTGTCCTTCTCTCTGGGTCTTTAGATTCCTCTCCCTCTCCTTGTCCCCCCACCCTTGTCCTCTGCCCCTCAGTCTTCAAGTCCTGCCCCTGCTTCTGTCTGTCCCCCCTTTCTCCTTGTTTCCCCGTTCCCATCTTTCCATTCTGCCTTTGTCCCCTACCTCTGTCCCTTTTTCCTGGGTCACTCTGCTCCCCTCATCCTCTGTTCATCCTGCCCTCTCTCTAAGCCCCCATTCACCGTCTCTCTCTGTCTTCTTGTCACCCTTCTCCGTCCCCTATCATTCACCCATTTCTCTAACCCCTTATGTCACCTAGCTCCCTTCCTCCTCCTCCTCCTCCATGCCCCACTGTCTCCCTGTCCCCTGACTCTCTGCCTCCTCTGCCCACACATCCTCCATCGCTGTAACCCTCCTACCCCATCCCTCTCTTCCATCTCTGTATCCCTCCGAGCTCCTAGAGAGGAGTGGAGTCAGGCAGGGCAGCCTGGGCAGCCAGGAGAGAGAAGCGCCTGTGTAGATGTGTGTGAAAGTGGGATCGGGAACATTGGCATGTGGGCACACACGTGGATTCAGCAAATGTCTCCCCAAACCCTCCCACCCATTCACACACCCAGGCCACACTCCCAGAGGAACCCTATCCAAGACATCCCACAGAGCCATCCACATGTTCTTTTAACACACTGTGGGAAGCTGGAAACCCCCAAGACAGAGTGACCCTGAGACTGGAGACAAGGTCAGGAAATGTCACTTGCACACTCACACTTACAGCCCTATGTGTCTCATACCTACCATCGGACACCCCTCTCTGGTGGGTCAAGTCACTTTGGGTAGGAATACGTGATGAGATGGTTGGGAAATGAAAGCAAGATTTGGGAAGTATTCTACCGGTTTGTGAAAGGAACTGGGACCAGGTGGCCCAGGGCTGGGGGGCTGGTTTTAAGTAGTCAATGACAAACTCCCTCTTTTGAGGTGTCAGTTCTTTCTCTAAAATGAAGATGTTGAACTCAGTGAGTGACAGGAATGCCAGCTCTGATGTAAGGAGCTTCTAAGTTGAGTATGGGTGCACCTGCCCCACTCCAAGGTTTGAGGACAAGGACAAGACCAGGGGCAAAGCAGATGTCAGAGGCTTTGCCTTTCTTCTGGAGACTTCTGTAGTTCCTTTCTTTCATCAGTCCCTCCTCCCTTTGCTAGGGACATGCCCCAATTTCCCAGATGAGAACTTGGAACTTTAGGTACCTTTCCATCCATTTTTTTCTCTTTATTTTTATGCATAAACACCAGGCTCAGAGGATCCTAGAACCACTGAGTCTTGTAAGCAAAGAACCTGAAGGTATTTAGAACATTGACATCCTTAGGATTCTAGAATCTGGATCTTTAGAACTTTAAAACCTTGAAAGTTCTATAATCTTTCTGGTCTTGGTAGCCTGTAATCCCTGCTGCTTTTGGAGGCTGAGGCAGGAGGATCAGGAATTCAAGGCTTGCCAGGACTGCTGCAGAGTGAGTTCAAGACCACCCTGGGCAACTTAGTGAAACTCTGTCTCGAAATAAAAACATGGCGGGGGGGGGGGGAGATCTGGGGCATAGTTCTGTGGTAGCACATTTGCCTAGAACCCACCAGTGAAGGGCTGGAGATGTGGCTCAGTGGTAAAGCCCCTGCCTAGAATCTACCAGTGAGGGGCTTGGAATATTGCTGAGTGACAGAGTGCTTGTCTAGCATGTGAGAAGCCCTAGGTTCAATCCCCAGTACTGCAAAAGAAAAAAGTTCTAGAACCTTGGTGGTGGTAATAGTCCAGTGTTTTGAAATTTATAATGCTATGAAATTTTAACCTTTGAGGGGTAAACAGACCCTAGGCCTTTGAATTCTCAGAACTGAATGTAACATCAGCTTACTACCTATCCAGTGCTGGGAGATAGCTCTAGGCCTTGTCCCTAGTTTGATTTTTTTTGGGGGGGGGTCTTTCTTTTGAGACAGGGTCTTCCTGTAGCCCCAGCTGGCCTTGAACTTGCTATGTATACCAGGCTGACCTCAAATTCACAGAGATACACCTGCCTCTGCCTCCCAAGTACTGGGATTAGAGGTGTACACCACCACATCTGGCTTGTCCCCAGTTTGATTTTAAAGTCATTGCTTCCTGGCACCTTTAATCCTTTCTGTAAACAACCTCTAAATTACATGCTATGGCCCTTTACAGGTGGAAAGCAAGCTTGGCTGTGGGGAGGACTCTGGGCTGGGAGTTAAAGAACTGGGTCTCAGCCTCTGGCTGTCCTCTGTGCTATAATTTAATGTCGGTCTCTGTCCCTCTCCAAGCCTCAGTTTCTTCCTTCTGGGGAGTTTTTTAGTACATGTCAAGGATCCTTTTTGGTTTTCTTTTTACTGGACATATTTCTTTTCCTTTTTTGTGACGGGATCTCACTATGTACAAAAGGTTGACCTTGTATTCACTATGTAGCCCAGGCTGCCTTCTGCCTTACTATGTAATCCAAGGCTGGCTTCCAGCTTCCAACTCACTGTGTAGCCCAGACTGATTTCAAATTCATAGTGATCCTCCTGCCTCAGACACTCAATTACTGGGATTGCATGCGTGTGCCACCATGCCCAGACTTTTCAGTGAATATTTCTGAATGACCAAGACCACCCAATTTTAGGGGAGTATCAGTGGTCGTCACATTTCCTTATCCAGCCAGCAAGAGTGTGTAATTGGAGCCTTTTATATAAATATAAATATAAATATTATATATATATATGTATGTATGTATTCTTTCTCCTGGCTCATTCATCTACTGAGAATACAAAAAGGATGAGGCTAGGAGAAAGCACAGGTCCAGGATGGGCAGAAGGATGTGAAAGAGACTAGTTGCCTCCCTAAAGATGCACACAGGGATGGGTGATGGGGGACCCACAGCCAGAAACGGGAAAACAGAAGGAAGCCGAGAAGATACATAGAACGGAGAAAGAATAAAGAGTCTGTTAAGACTTGGGGAGCTCTGTGGAGGGGGAGTTTGTTGATCCCAAATAAAGTTTCCCTTTAGGGTGACTCACTTCTCCCTGTTAAAGTCCTAAGCAGCCACATAGAGCACAGGGGAGCCCTCCCCTCATTGTGACTCATCCCAATGGGTCTTGAGAGATTTCTATCACTGACCCCAACCCACTCATGAACTGGATGCCTGGTGCCTAGAGTCTGGGGGTAGGGGTCAAGTTCCACCATCACAGATTCCGAGACCTTAGCCCCAGCAGGACTGAGGCCCAGGGGTGGGTTAATGTCGTGCGAGCCTGGCCTGTCCCCGTCTTGAGGAACACAAAGGCAGCTTTCTCTCTCTGAGTGTATGTGTGTGTGTGTGTGTGTGTGTGTGTGTGTATGTGTTGGGGGATATGCTGGAGAAGTCAAACCCATGAGTATCCAATGGCCTGTGACACCAGGACCCAAGCACCCACAGTTTCTCCCTGTATGGACCTAGCACGCGAAGACCAGGCACCCAGACCCCTCTGTGGACACCCAGTGGAGAGGAGTGGGCTCTGAGGTCTTCATGGAAGGAGATGCAAAAGGGGCACTAGGGGTGAAAGATGGGGCAGGTTGAGCTCAGCAGATGCTTACATTCTTCCTGGAGTCCCACACCCAGGGTGACCCTCCAAGGGACTCCCCACCCACTGGCTGGGCCTGAAGCCTGGAATCCAGGGAGTCCTGAGTATCCCAGGAACGTGGGGGCCACAACAAGGACATTGTGTGAGGCTGCTGACTCACTCCAATGCCCCCACCTGAGGCCTGGGTCCCCAGACATGCTGGAGACAAAGGACAGAGGAAGGCAGGATGCTGATTTGGGGGTGTGGGCTGTGAACGGAGGATCTAAAGTTTTCAGGAGAGAAGGATCTAGGTTTTGGCCCTGGGGTCTGAGGGAGAAAGGCTGGGCCTGGACTCCTAAGTCTGAAGCAGGAAGGCTGGAGTCTGGACTTGAGGGAGGAGGGCTGGAGCCAGAACCCCTGGATCTAAGGGAAGAGGGCTGAACCTGGACCCTGGGTCTGAGGGAGAAGATTTGGGGTTGAGATCTCTGGGTCTGAGAGAGGAGGGCTGGGGCCAGACTATTGAATCTGAGAGAGTAGAGCTAGGATAAGGGTTTGTGGGCTTGAGGGAGGAGGGGCTGGGGGCTGGACTCCTGAGGTTTGAGGTGGCTGGGAGTCCATACTGCTGGGTTCAGAGAGAGGGAAGAGTCATAGACTCCTCATCCTGAGGGAGGAAGGGGCTGGGGGTTTCCAGGGGGAGGTTGGGCTGGGACCCTGATGCCTAGGTCCTGCAAATACAGGCGCCTTCACAAGGCTGAGCTGCTCGAAGAATTGATGCTTTGTGCAAGGATGCTCGGACTCCGCCATTGATGGGGGGCTGAGGGGGGGGTTCAGGCAGGACGTAGGGATGTACCATTTCCCAGGGGAGGAAAAGGAAGGAGGCATGATGCCAGAGCCCCCCTGGGGAGTGGATACAAGGCTGTGACCTTCCCAGAATTGTGACCTTGAGACTCCCTTGCGTATTTGCTGACTCAGGACCCAGGGAGTGCTCCCCCACCCTGCTTAGTCTATATTGGAACATCCACCAGCTGTGTACTATGGACCCCTGTCTCCTGGGTCTGAGGGAGGAGGGCTGAGGT